GGGCGCCTGGGGCTGTTCTCCACTGCAGCAGCTCTTTAGCCTCAGCGTTCAGGCTCTGATGATGTCCAGCAGGGGTGGGTGTTGTCATCATTCCATCTCCCAGCCCGTACACTGAGGCCCAGGAAGGGGGGTTGATTTCAGGGCCCCTCTGCTGCCACCTCCTCCTTGCGTCTCTTCCTAGGGATCCTGTGTGTTCCTGACCTCAGCCAGATGGTTCTGGAAGTTGGGGAGGGTGAGCTCCTTAGCCAGGAGAGGCAGGGCTTAGAAAAGTCGGACAAGAGGAAGTGTCTTAGCCACTGTTATGCAGCTGCCCTGAGACTCCGTATAAAAGAAAACATTTAACTGGGCTCTTGCTTACAGAGGTCTAGTCCACGGATATCAAGGCGGTGAGCACGGCAGCATGCAGGCGGACGCTGGAGCAGTAGCCGTGGAGAGCTACGTCCTGATCCGTAGGCAGAGAGGCTTGGCAGGGGCTTTTGAAACCCCAAAGCCCACTCCCAGTGACTCACCTCCTCCCATAAGACCACTCCTCCTAATCCTTTTAATCCCTGGTGTCTAACTAAGCTTTCAGGACGAGAGCCTGCGGGAATCTCATTATTCAAACCGCCGTAGGGGGAGGCACCCTGGGGGCATCAGGGAGGGTGTGGACAGACTCAAAATAAAGCGTCCTGTGTTCTGGAAGTGAGGGTGGAGGCTGGAGCGAGCGGCTGAGCACGGTGCTAGCCGCAGCCCCTCGCCTTCTTAGAGCGGGGACAGTAGTGGGTTCCCCTGGGGGTGGGTGGAGGCCTTCCAGCCAGTGAAGTCAAGGGTGCTCAGCCCAATGTCTGGACGGTTGCGCACACGCACACAGCTGTTGCTTATTATCACAAGGAACTGAATCGTGCAGAGTAGGGTGAGGCGCTCGAGGACCCGGGACCGGCCGAGGCCAGCGAGGACAGCTGCAGACCCACAAAGTTAAGGGAGAATCTGCAAAGGCCACCTCGAGCATCCTGGTGGCCATAGGAAAAAGGGAGATGTCATCACAGATCATCAAGACAAAGGGAGGGACAGTTCTTCAGGGGAAGCTGTGCTGCTCTTCACTCACTGCTTTCAGCGACGAGGGAGGAGGCTCAGAGAAGGCAGATTTGCGGAAAGCAGGGGGAGGCGCTGAGCTCTTACGACTCCAGGCTAAAGCTTGGGAGCTTGGAGCAGGTGGGACCGGGGTTGCCCACTCCTCCCAGGAGTAGAGGTGGAGCGGAGCGTCCTAGGGGTCAGGCTCTGCTCGCACTTCCCAGCTGTGTGGCTACAGGCCAGAAGCTTCACCTCTCTGGACCTGTTTCCTCATTCACAAGGTGGGGTTTTCCCTGTGGGGCCATCACAGAGGTGTTGGTCCGTGTTAGCTATGTGGGATGCATGTAAGGGTGACACTTCTTTACCCCCCCCCCAGCTTCCTGGTGGCAGGGGGGGAGGGTGTGAGGAACTTGACAGGAATGCTGTGGCTCTTGGACATTGGCAGAGGTCAAGCACCATGGTCGGTCATCGCACACTGTGTTCTGGGCAGGAGGGAGGTGCTCTTTGATAGAGGTTAGGAACCAGCAGTGGCCAGCCCTGTGATCACATCCTGGCTCTGTACCCAAGCAGGAAAGGCAGATGGACTGGAACATGCCATTCCTCAGGCCGCTCTGGCTGGCCTTTTCCCATCTGCCGTGACAAAGGCCACCAGAGGGGGCATGAAGGGCAGCAACATGCCAGGCCAGTTCTCAGCAGAGCCAGCCCTCCTTTCTGCTGGATTTTTCCATCCCTGGATTTGACCAGCCATAGATGCAAAGAATTTTGGAAAGCCAGATGTGGTAGCATATGCCCGTAATGCCAGGACTCAGAGGCAGGAGGATTACCAGTTTGAAGACAGCCTGGCCTTCATAACAAGATTCTGTCTCTCAAAAAACAAAAACAAGCTTTAAAAAAAGGAAAGAAAAGAAAAGAAAAATAGAAAAGGAAAAGAAAGAAAGAAAGGAAACCATTAGGTTGAAATGGCTTGTGTTCTGAGCATGTGCGGTGTCTCATTTCTTGTCACAGAGTGCTATGGTACAAAGGCATGCACACAGCATGTCTGTGACATTGGACATTGAACTCAATCTCCAGGAAACTTAAAAAATCTGGTAGAATACATGTTTTTTGAGACAGGGTTTCTCTGTGGCTTTGAAGGCTGTCCTGGAACTAGCTCTTGTAGACCAGGCTGGTCTCGAACTCATAGAGGTCTGTTGTCTGCCTCCCGAGTGCTGGGACAAAAGGCTTGCACCACCAATGCCTGGCTCGAGTGCATGTGGTTTTATGTGCAAACATGCCATTTCAGAAATGGACGTGAGGGTTTAGGTATCCCAGAGGTATGTGGAGCCAGTCCTGACTTCACACTGGAGTTAGTCCTTGGGGCCTCCCACAATACAGGACCTATTGCCCTGTCCCCTTCACATCCATTTTACAGACAGGGCAACTGAGGCATTGAGATCACTGACTCCATCCGGGACCCCAGGAAATCTGTACAGCTCAGGTTATGGGGTCTAGAAGCATTGGGGGACAGACAGAAGGTGAGGGGCTTCCCCTCCCCCCGCTTAGGAGAGCTAGGGAGTGAAGGCCACATTAAGAGAACCTTCTTCTAGTAGGATGAACCATGACAGACCTGGCGAAGGGATGTATATGCCTCCCGAGCCATCCCTGTGGCCCTGGCTGGGAGATGAAATGACACAGCCTCTGACCCCAGCTGCTCCGAGCCCAGCCTAAAAACCAGACATGATGTCATCTGGGTCATCTTCCTACGGCCAGCAGTGTCTCTGAGTCCCTTGTGCCACGATGGAGGCTGCTGGGTGGAGCCCTCTCCCTCCTCTGAGCCTTCGCATCCTCATTTGTGCTCACCCTTTACTCCCCACTCAGAGGGGAAAGCCCACAGCTCGCTCCCAGGCTGAATGCCAGCCCCTCTTACATCTCGGGATATGTGGGACTAGCCCCGATCCAGGGCTACCCCTCTGTCATCCCTGTGTGTCCACTGTGGGGAGAGATCCCAAGGAAGCTGTGTCCCATGCCTGGTACCCTGGGTTCCACAGGCTTCAGACGGCTTTCTAGCCCATCTGCTCCCCAAGTCCATGGCAGCTTCTCCAGGGTTGAAGTGGGACCGTCGCTAGGGGATGATGGGCTCACACAGCGAAGAGCTTGCTCTGCAATCACAAGGACGTAAGTTCAATCCCAGCACCCTGAGAAAACGAAATGAAGCAAAAACGGTGTAGCAGCACCAATCTGAAATGCCTGTATCGCGGAGGCAGGGGCAGAAGGGTACAAGGGCCTTGCCGGCTAGCCAAACCCGTAGACTCCATGAGCTCCAGGTTCAGTGAGAGACCCTGACTCAAAAAAAAAAAAATGGAGAGAGATTGAGAATGACACTTGATTTGTACCTGTGTCCTCCACACGCAAGCTTACACACATGCATGCTCATCCATGCACGTACATAAACACACACACACACACACACAGAGGGAGAGGGAGAGGATCACTGAGACAATGCTCTGTCCAGTCTCTCAACACCTAAGAGTTGCAAGTGGCCCCTCATGTTGTCATTGACAGTAAGTTTCCCAACAATGGGGCTTCTCTCTTTCCCTCCCTCTCCCCCCTCCCTTCTCCTCCCCCTCCTGGACCAGAGATGATGAACCCACAGGTGCTGGGTGAGTGAGTGCTCACATGCTGGGTGGGTGCTCCTCCACGGTGGCACACCCCTTCATTCTAACTGTCTCACTCCTGGGATGTGCTCCCAGTCTACAAAGCATGGTGACACCCGAGCTCACATCTGGGTCGCTTGGGCTCAGAGCCCCAGCGAAATTCTCCAAGTGGTTTTCATTTAACCAAAGTGTTTGTCTGTAATGAGAGGCCAAGCTCAAGCTACAGAGGAGCAGCCTTGAATGCAAGGGAGCTGGCTGGCTGGTAAAAAGGAAGGCTGTGCCTGGCAGTCTCCCTGGGGTTAGAGTCCATTCATCAAGACCGGAGGGCTCCGCCAGTGGAGATCAGAGCCTTCAGTTCAAACCCATGCCCTGCTGGGCAATCGGGTTTCACTCCTAAGTTGACGGCTTTCTGTGTACCCTCGCCGAGCCAATCGCCCAGTAACCTGATGCCATTGTTCTCTTAACACACTGACACATTCTGTGATCTGGATGTCCCTGATTTGTTGATGGGGCGCCTGAAGCTCAGACAGAAGTCATACTCCACAAGTGCACAGCTGGGAGGTGACAAAAGTTAGGTTTGAACCTTGCACCTAACCACTGCCTCTGGCACCTCCGGGTTCGCAAACCCTCAGGATACTGTATAGAAACCCAACTGGGTTGCTATGGGGCTGATGCAGGACCAGCTGGCCGCCTGCCCCCTGGCAACGCTCAGGGTTTGTGTGGGTCACTGTCCCCACACAAGGCCACCAGATAAGGAAGGTCTGTATCTGACTCATGGTGCCCACCAGGCCCAGACAAGGCTTTTCGAGCCTCGGGTTTCATGCTTTTTTTGGAGGCAGTCTTACTATGTAGCCCAGGCTAGCCTCGAACTCACGATGCCCCCTGCTTCAGCCTCCCCCTTACTGGATTATCAGCAGGAGACATTTCTGTTCCCCATATTTCTAGCTTTAAAAAAAAATCATTTACTTATTCATTTGGCACATGCGTGTGGGCCTGAATGTCTCCACCTTCACGTGTGGAGGCCAAAGGACAATTTTGGGGACTCACTTCTCTTCCTCCGTGTGAGTGGGTCCCCAGAACTGAACTCTGGTTGACAAACTTGCCCAGCAAGTGTCTTTACCGCTGAGCCATCTCACCCACCAGCCTGCCTGCCTAGTTTCCATACTTTGTAAAGCAATGCACTTGTTTTACAATGCCTGCTGGGAAGAGGACCTGGGAAGACCAGATGATATGCAGGGATGCATCCTTGGTACCTGGCAGGTTCTGGAGCAGTTATCCCATCTGGGTCTACACTACCTCCTTTTCCCTCCCTTGCAGGCATCTCCTCCAGCTGTGCATAGTGACCAACTGGCTGGAGACTCGCACTGGAGTTCTGTTCTGCAACAGTGAACACTGAAGGTCTCCAAAGGTAGGCACTCATGTCTCCACAGGGCCATCAGCAGGGTGGGGGCAGGGGAGGGTGCGATGTGGCTGTCCCCCGAGGCTCTGGGCATGTGAGCAGAACCAGGTCACAGCAACAGGCTCCTTTCTCCACTGCACACAGAGTGGTGTGATAGCCCATGCCCTAGGGGGTCTTTGAATGACTAATTGCCTCACACAGAGACTGGGAGGGAGGAAGGAAGGGTCCTTAAGAGGCTGGAGAGACTTGGTTTAGGAACCCCACCTTCTCCTGTGCGAGGGGTGAGTAATTTTATGATTGTCCTCGTTGAGATTTGTGTTAGTTACTTTTATATGGCTGTGATGAAACACCACGGCCAAGACAACTTATAAAAGAAAGCCTTTAACTGGTCTCACTGTTTAAGGGGGTCTATAATGGCTGAGTGTCTCACAAGCAGGAGACTTCGAGAGCACCTCACCCCGGTGACACACCTCCTCCAACAAGGCAACCCCCCCAGTCCTTCCCAAACAGTTCCATCAAATGCGGATGGGCATTCAAATGTATGAGCCTGTGGGACCCATTCTTGTTCAAAACCACCACAGGGTCCCTAACCCATCCCACCTCTGCAGGTTCAGCTTGCTTGGGGTCAGTCTCCATCTGCCCTCACTTTCCTACTTGGACCTGTGGGGTCCAGATGTTACCGTCTATATATGCTGACCCTTATAGTAGTGCGGGCTTACAGGATGGCTACAGATGTTTGTAAAAGAAATAAAGTAGGCCAGGTGTGGTGGTGCATACCTTTAATTCCAGCACCTGGGTGGGGTGGTGGGGTGGTGGGGTGGTGGTGGTGGTGGAAACAAATAGATCCCTGTGAGTTCGAGGCCAGCCTGGTCTACAGAGTGAGTTACAGGTCAACTAGGGCTGCATTCTGAGACTTTGACTCAGGAGAAGTGGGGGGGGGGTAGAGGGAGGAAGAGTAGTAGGAAGAGGAGGATGAGTAGGAGGAGGACTGGGGAGGAGGGGTAGGATGGGAGACTTAGGAGGAGGGAGGGAGGGGGAGTAGACAGAGGACTGGGGGAGGGGGAGGGGGAGGGTTGTCAGTACTAAATGAACTAATGAACTTCATGTCCCGTGTCTCCTCTGACATTGCCCTCCGCCCTACACATGCACCTATCTACATGAGCACATGTACACGCACGTATGACCGGCGAATGAACACAAAGCAAAGAAAAAAAAAATGGCAAAGGGGAGACGGTTGGCTTACCGCCCTGGCCTTGCTCAGACGGTGAGGAGGAAGTGTCTGGTCTTGCCAGGCAAGGCCTCAGCACCTGCCCGTTGAGGTCTTTAGCCCACGACTCTGTCTTCCCTTGCAGAGATGGAGTACGATGATGCCGCCTACAACTATTCCAGTTACAACGATGAGTACCCTGACGACTTTGGCCCCATCGTGGATTTGGAGGAGGTGGATCCGCTGGAGGCCAGGGTGACCCGTGTCTTCCTGGTGGTGATCTACAGCGTGGTGTGCTTCCTCGGGATCCTCGGCAATGGCCTGGTGATCGTCATCGCCACGTTCAAGATGAAGAAGACAGTAAACACCGTGTGGTTCGTCAACCTGGCAGTGGCTGACTTCCTGTTCAACATCTTCCTGCCAATCCACATCGCCTACGCCGCTATGGACTACCACTGGGTGTTTGGGAAGGCCATGTGCAAGATCAGCAGCTTTTTGCTCAGCCACAACATGTACACCAGCGTCTTCCTGCTGACTGTCATCAGCTTCGACCGCTGCATCTCTGTGGTGCTCCCTGTCTGGTCCCAGAACCACCGCAGTGTCCGGCTGGCCTACACGACCTGCGTGGTCGTCTGGGTCCTGGCTTTCTTCTTGAGCTCCCCATCCCTTGTCTTCCGGGACACGAACAACGTGAACGGGAGGATAACCTGCTTCAACAACTTCAACCTGTCAGCCGCCGAGTCCCTCTCATCCTCTCTTCACTCCAGAGGAAACCCTGTAGGGTTCAGTAGACACACGGCGGTCACCATCACCCGCTTCCTTTGCGGGTTCCTGGCCCCTGTGGTCATCATCACTGCCTGTTACCTCACCATCGCCTTCAAGCTGCAGCGCAACCGCCTGGCCAAGACCAAGAAGCCCTTCAAGATCATCATCACCATCATCGTCACCTTCTTCCTGTGCTGGTGCCCTTACCACATGCTCTACCTGCTGGAGCTCCACCACACGGCCATGCCGGGCTCTGTGTTCAGCCTGGGGTTGCCCCTGGCCACTGCCATTGCCATCACCAATAGCTGCATGAATCCCATTTTATATGTGTTCATGGGCCATGACTTCAAGAAATTCAAGGTGGCTCTTTTCTCCCGCTTGGCCAATGCCCTGAGTGAGGACACTGGACCCTCTTCCTACCCCAGTCACAGGAGCTTCACTAAGATGTCATCATTGAACGAGAAGCCTTCGGTGAACGAGAAGGAAACCATCGCACTCTGAGCCTTACTTGGGAGTGCCCTCGCGGATGCTGTAGCCCAGGGACACCCAGGGACACCCAGGGACTTGTCTCCTGGAGTGAGTAGTTTTGAGTGGGATCCCAGTGTGTGGACACTTCCAGAAAAACGGAAGGCAGACCAGTCTGAGCCTCTGGAGTGGAGACAGTAGGGGACCAGCTTTGACGGAATGAGACAGGAAAAAGGCAGGGTTCTCCGTACGGGCACAAGATTTCCCTATGTGTGATGCACAGTCTCTGTTGTGGGTGAGGGAATCAGAGCAATCCCATTGCAGACCTGGTACAGCCATGTGGCAGTCAAGACAGCAAGCCCCGCCCCGCCCCCGCCCCGCCCAGGCCCCGCCCCGCCCCCGCCCCTGCCCCACCCCTGCCAGCATTCTCCAAGATCTTGACTTTAGATTTCAGATGAGCCGGGAAAACCAGGAACTGGGGGGGGGGGTGGTCGATGGAACCCTGCAAGGGCGCGGTGGACTGTGGGTAATAATGGTGCTGGTAGAGAAACAGAGATATGGAAAGGCTGTCTCTGGGGGCTCAGCTGTGACGATGGATGAGTAGCTAATCTGAGTCCTCCTTGAATTACACTTCCCAGCTGAGGCATTACAGTCCTGTGGGCAGCTGGTGGGCAGGCTCTCCTCCCCAGATCAGACACTTTCTCCTGGCAAGGAAGCCGAGGGAAGGGGAACCGGCTCACCCAAACCAACGCCACACACTCCCGGTCCACGACAAAGACCTGAGCCTAGGCCTCTGCCTGGCTGACTTTGATTTGATAGCCTGCATCATTTAAGGTTTCCCACACAGGCCCAGCGTTTCACATGCATCTTCTCACTTATTCTTTACAGAAACCCCGAGTTAGGTTCTTACACATACGAGGAGTCAGAGGCTCAGAGAGGTTAAGTAACTGGCCCAAGGGGACCCAGTTAGACGCTGGCAGACTGGATTTGAACCCAGTTTCCTTGGCTCAGGGGAGATGTGGGGTTGGGGTTTTCGCCATAAACGTGGGCTCTTCACTCCATCCGCGTGAGCATCTTTCTTTGTTGTTGTCGTCTGTCGTTTTTCACGGCAGGGTTTCCCTGTGTGGCTTTGGAGCCTGTCCTGGAACTCACTCTGTAGACCACGCTGGCCTCGAACTCACAGAGATCCACCTGCCTCTGCCTCCCGAGTGCTGGGATTAAAGGTGAGCGCCACCAATGCCTGGCTCCGTGCGAACATCTGAATAGTCTTTATGATGAATTGCACATTGATTTCAGAGTAACCCAACATGGAAGAAGAAGAAGGAAGGAAGGAAGGAAAGGGAGGAAGGAAGGAAGAAAAAGATGTTCTGGATCCCCAACTCCACCTCTGGCTCCTGTCACACACACCCTGCAGTCTGCTGGGCAGGCAGAGGGAGGCGCCTGGCAGGGGCAGCCTCTCTGGGTCTGTGGCCTTCTGGCCCCCAGCAGCTGCCTTCAGTTCTCTTTGAAGCCACTCCTCCATCAGGGTGTGATACACAGATGCATGGCCTCTGGCCTGGCCAGTTACTGAACTTTAGGCTGCTAGGACTCACAGTCAATCAGGAGACAGACCGTTCCTCCCTTGCCGGGGCCTGAGATGAGGCAGCTCTGAACTGATCCAAGCTGGAACCTCTGATTGCTTCAGAGGGCCCGAACTTACAGGGGTTGAGTGAGCAGAGGGGGGTTTAAAAATAGCCTTGTGTTGCCATTGTCCTCCCCGGGGCCACAGATGTGCCACCGAGGCATGCGGCGGGATGGGATTCATGTCACAGAGGCACTTATCCGTGATGGGGGGGGCCTCATGGCCCCCTGGACCATAAACTTCCTGGACATCAGGGTTGGCCAAGCCAGGCAGGGGACCAGGAAATCTTGTTGCCATTGGAAAAGCTGACAAACGTGGGCTGTGTATGTGTGTGTGTGTGTGTGTGTGTGTGTGTGTGTGTGTGTGTGTGTGAGAGAGAGAGAGAGAGAGAGAGAGAGAGAGAGAGAGAGACTAGCAGACCCTCTTCCTCCCGGCTGTCATGTGCCAGAGCACTGAGTAAAACCTTCAGTCTTATTCTAGTGGCTCCTCACAGCCACCCCCACCTCCCAGGACCTCTGTGTAATCCTTGAAGCTGGCAGACTGCGGTGCCCCGCCCATGCCCCAGGGCCAGAACCTTCTCTGGGCCTGGGACCCAGCAAAGTGTCTCGCTGATGCCTCCTGGGTGGGCGATTGGCCGAGGGAACAAGAGAAGGAGACAAGGTGTCCACGGGCAAGAAGGGGGGACCGTTGGGGTGTGGGGGAGGGGAGCAGAGCCTGCTGGGGAGGAGAGGCTGTGCCTCATCCTGGGGGAGGAGGACACTGTGCCCCTTAGGATCGTGCAGGAAGAAGTTGGGGTCACCCCCACAGCTAGGTAGTGACGTGGGGTGCGTACAGCGGGGCACTTGGAATATGGTGGGGCACTGGGAACAAACTCTGCCGCCGAGACCTCACCTTTGCCAGACCGGAGAAGCCAGATAGGAGGGAAGGAAGGGAGGATGGAGTAAATGCTACCCCCACTTTGGAGCCTCCACCCCCGCTGAGCACCTCCTCCCCACCAGCCAGGCGCTCATGGAACTCTGCTGGGGGTTCCCGTTCAGGGAGGGACTCTGGGGTCTGTGGTTCGTGGGTTCAGATGGCGCTGTCTACCCTTGAGGAGGGAGCCGCTGTGAAGTGTGATGCTGTCACGGAGGGGCCAGGGACGCGTCCTTGGGAAGGGGCTTGTGTTGCCCTGGGGAAGAGTAGGTCCGTGTTGAGATGGCGGGAGGCGCCCCAGTGGTCCAGGCAGAGCTGCATGAGCGTCAGTGCTGAGGAGGGAGAGGGGTCTGAGGGTTTGGACGGCAGCGTGGTAAGCAGGAGGTGGACAGAGGACCAGGGCTGGGGAGACACAGGTGTGGACTGGACCGACCTGCCAGAACTAGGTGTTGAACCCTCCCCCCACCTCTCTCTCTCTCTCTCTCTCTCTCTCTCTCTCTCTCTCTCTCTCTCTCTCTCTCTGGAAAGCGCCAGGGAGAGGAAGATGGGAGGCAGCTGCACAGCAGCCTTAGCAGGAGCCCCTGAGGTCTCTGGACTGGGAAAGCTGGAGAGGGCGGAGGGCTTGGGAGGTCTTTAAAAGCTCTGAGCTTACTCAGGGGAGTGGTTAGCAGGAAGCCAACCCTGGGCCCATCTGTTCGGCACAGAGGTCCTGATGCATTCGTTTGTTGATGAAAATTAATTGTAAATATTATTCAAACGTACCTCCCAGTGGGCAATTACACTCCTCAGGGGAGTTCTCCGAGTACATCGGGAAACCGTGTAAATAACACATACATTAGCCCGGTGCACAGAGGCGAGCTAATGCTGCTGTTGTGGAGGCTGCTGTGGAAATCTCTCTGGGCACTGGGGCTGGAGGTTAGCCTTGGACAACCAGATGTGTCTCCCACAGAGGATGGGTACAACCTGGGCCCTACCCTGATCACTGGCCGGGTGGGAACGTCGAGCTGGTAGGGGAGGAAGACTTGCAGGTGTGGAGATGCCCACCTGGGCTCAACAGCTGCTGTAGGGACAGTGTGATTACCCGGGCAGTGTTCAAGTGTCCGGCAAGCACTCGGGTCTCACGATCTCATCCAGTCTTTACGGACAGAGCGTCAAGATGTGCGCTGAGATCCAGTGCGGTGTCGGTAGATGGGAGAAGAAGTTGAGAGGTTCAGACAGGTGGGTTGAAAACTGAGCAAGGCTGCACAGCTAGTGAGCGCTGAGAGCCAAGCCCTGTCTGTCATCTGTGTGTCTGTGTGTCTGTGTGTCTGTCTGTCTGTCTGTCTGTCTGTCTGTCTGTCTGTCTGTCTGTCTGTGTGTCTGGAGAGCTCTTGCTTTCCCCATCGACATCTGAGGTGGGGCGGTGATGAGTCTGAGGGACTGTGGTGTCCCTGGAGGGGAGGACATGACGCTCACAGGCTCTATCAGTTCCTTTCGGTTTCTGGGCATAGGAGTTCGGGAGGCATCGAGTTAATCCCTTTTCAGCCCCCTGCTTCCCAGGTCATAAAACTGAACAGGATACAAATAGTTTGGGGACCCCCCCCCACATCAGTGAGATGGTGTGACCAAGCTCCTGAGAATCACTTTTAAAATGTCAGCTTAGAAACCCGAGGTTTACCAAGCTGCCCTTTTGGTGGCTAAGCTTCAAGTGCCCGATTTGGTGACCATCTGCCCAGGGTCAAGCAGAACCCTGGCTGAAGCAGAGTCTTGGCAAAACCCACTTTGGAGCAGAAACAAGGTATTTCTAAGACATCTTCACCATTGCCCTGGAGGTGGGTAAGGGTGTCTTCTGGACCAGTGAGGTAATGACAGGGCACTTCCATAATAAAAATCTCAGTCTGTTCATCTGAGATGAGTGTCTTCTGACCTTCCCTCCACACCCCTGCAGATGGTGGTGGGGGGGGGAGAGGAGGCAGCTTTGTAGGCCCCAAGGAATAGTCATGGCAGAATCCACCCAGGGAATGAGCCCTCACAGATAGCCAGGCTTAACTAACGGCTTCTGATGGTGATGACTTGGCAAGAGAGGCTTCTTACTCAGCCTGAGTGGGCTGGATGCATAGCGATCGGGTGGGGGGGGGCTTGAGGAGGTTTTGAAACAACTATGAAAATCTTCCTTTCCCATACTGTACGAGCACTTGGCCCTCATTCATACGGAGCAATATACAGAGTAGTTTTGGCCCAGACTACTCCCAACAACTTTCCATAGCAGAACACACTCAGCCTTTGCTGCCATGGTGCACAGAACCTTGGAGAGCCAGCCACCAATTTCTCCCCCAAAACATCAATTGCTGGTCAGCGGGCTATCCACACTGGCCCTCAAAACCAAACCCAGGCAAACAGGCAGCCGCCACCCACCGCCGCCACCACTCCCCAGGCTGTTCTTTGGGGGATCAACCCGCCTCTGGTGCTGGCTTTACCTCTGCACTCCTCCATTCCCTCAAGCGTCACCTGTTGCTGGGCATGGCGGCTCACTTGTAATCCAGGGATCAAAAAGCTGAGGCAGGAGGATTGCGAATTTGCAGCAAGCTGGACTGCAGATCTTACCTCAAAAGGAAAAGCCCAAACCAAAGCATCAAGTCATCCCCTCACCTCCTCTGAGTGGGTCTGACCCCTGTTCAGGGTCGCAGATTAGATCTCATTTTCCTGTATCACCGTCATCAAAATCTCTTTACTTGTTTATGTATTTAGTTGCCTCCTGTCTGTCCCCTGTTGGGAGAGGGACTCTATCAGGACAGGGACCCATGTGGCTCCCCACTCGCCTTGTGTGGCCAGAGCTTAGCTTGGAAAAGATACCACCACTGGATGTCATGGGATGGGAATGAAAGTCCTTTCCCTTCCATGTGGTCCCTTCCCCTTAGTCTCCTATTGTAATCTCACAACCCCCCCCCACACAGATGTCCCCTTTGTGTGACACATGGAGAGGGTAATCAGATCACTGCAGGAAAATGGAGGCGCTGTGGATCTTCCTGAAGCCACTGGGAACCATGGCAGGGGCAGAGGAGGCTTTCATTAACAGATTCTGCCTCCCTGGGCCTTCTGTCCTGGTTTTCTGATTTATTGCAACTTGGGAATAAACAAAACAGATACCTCCACCCTAGCCCCACACCCTCCCCATTATTTTCCATCTCTTCCAGACCAGGACTCTGGTTAAAGGCTTGGCAGGCATGCCTGTGACCACAGACTTCCTGTGTTTACCCTTCCGCTTGGAAATCATGAAAGAATCGGCCGGGGCATCGAGTCTGTGTTGGCCTTGGATGGGGTCCCCTGATGCCCTGAGGCTCTGCAGCCCAGATGTGCCTGGAGAGACAGACATAGGCTTCTATGCGCCCTGGTTTCCAAGGCACAGATGTTTGGCGTGCTACAGCAAGCATTTGGATAACTGAATGAATTTCTGATTTGATTCCAGATGCTGAAGGAGGCAGGAAAGGGGAAGAGAGGCTTAAGTGTCTGGCTGATAGCATGGACAGCTATTGGTCAGCAGCAGGTGTTTGCAATA